CCAAATCCAATAACCCCAATCTTGACTCCGTTAGACTCCAACATGTGTGTCTCCGCACAGTTGGCCAACGGCACCCTTTCACCCAAAGCGGGGTCCAGGACATTAGCCAGCAGCCATGGAAACTTGCACTGGCTTCTCAGGTGCCGGAATTGATCGATGCCAAAATCCAGATCGTGGTTCTGTTGAACGAATATATGACATTAGTTCTTTGTATCCCGTAGCTACTATCTTCCTAGCCCCCAGGTTAAAGGGCGGTTAAATAGGCTCATGTTTCTCACCCCGACACACGCAACATCCGTGCCAATCTGGTTAAGGAACGGCACCATATGGCGGCCCTTCGTGACGGAGCTTTCGAGACTGGGATTGAAAGCATCGCCCGAGAAGAATGCCAACAGCGGCGGCTGGTTGGCAAATCTAGGGTGATGGCGGTAGTAGTTGACGAGGGTTTGGAAACGGGAAACACCGCCGACGGGGTCTGCCGAGCCAGCCCTAATTTAAGTGAGACGGTAGCTGGTTAGTTCCTTATGTTACAGCCAAATAGCTTGTTGACTGGGGGGAATTGCTCTCACTCGACGTGGTAGACATCGTTGTAATGCAGTAGGCGGAGATCTGGTGGGCCAATTCGTCCACAGTCGTAGGTGGTGGAGAGCCCGGCCTCCTCAGTAGGCTCCATGGTGTGTATTGCAGTGATATCTTTATTTGTCTATCTATTAACTACCCATGTGTATATAATTCTTCCGGGGAGAATATCGAGTTTTGCGTGGTAACTACCTAGTATTGCTATCTGTAACTGCGGACGAACCTTGTTATATTTACAACACGTCAGTCGGTTTCAAGTTTAGACAGTAAGGCTGTCACCCTGCTGAATGGCTGTTGAAATGGCTGTTCGGTAATAACTAACTACTAGACATACAGTTTCTACTCTGGAGTACATAGATAGACAACGTTTTAAGGGGGCCTGAGATTATATATTTGGGCTAATGCCACTCCAGGGAAGCCGAAAATTCGGGTTTTATTCACTCGTTCATGAAAGTATAACTTTGAGAATTCATATTTTCACATCTACTTGTAGGTGCCCTGTCGATTCCTGAACTCTTCAAACAATTGAAAGTTCGTAGAACTTCAGTGCCATTTACTGTCAGGCTTGATTTGATTTCTGGCAGAATCTCACCCCTAACAGTTATCTTTGCCTCATGGCCAGATTATGTTGCAAACATATAGTTACCGGATCATTTACTACCCTGATAATGTCCAAAGACGCGCCAGAAACTTCATAACCAGGACCAGGTGGATAACAAACTCCCATCGGTCAAAGAAAAAGAAAATTAAAAAAAGTCCCGTTAAAGGAAAATGGCAAACGGCCCATGGAATAATATAATATAACATCTGCTTGAAGTTGGTACCAAAGGGGAAAGGAAGGGGAACAGAAGAGTTACAAAAAGAAAAGAAAAGAAAAGAAAAAAAGAATTAAAAAAAAAAAAAAAAAAAAAAAAAAATTGGAGGTCAGTCAATGTAAAGGAAAATCGGAATAATGGACCTTTGTAGTTCTTGATATTATTTCAAACCCGAAACGCGGATTCACAAGTAAAATAGGTAAAATTAGCCCAAGTAGAAGTTCGCAATGCCAAAATAAATCCAAGGAAAGGAAGATAAGTTGAGATGGGGTTTATTCGCCTTATAAAAGAAGGAAATCTATATAAAATTAAAAATGAAAAATAATCCAACTTAAGGATTGCTCTCACTCATAGTCCAGCGCCGCTTGCTGAACGGTTCACGCTCCTGCAGCGAGGTGCAACCCCACAGACCACGTTGTGATCGCGATCTCGCGGGGAGGTGTGGTGGCTGATAATCCGTCTCCTTTGGACCACTGCTGTCTGCTGAACCAGGTTTTGGGTCCTCAAAGTTGGGAACCAGATCATCAACAGATTCTGAATTGTTGCCCGAAATTTGGACGGAACCCCAAAGGCCCGATGGTGGCCTGTTTGCCGAAGTCCCGCCAGAGTAGTTTGGGGCTAATATCCTTGAATTGCTTGGTTTTCGGCCCATTGACTCTCCGAGGCTAAAGCTCTCCTGCGAGCTGGTGAAAGCAGAGGTCGGACTGAAACGATGACGATAGGAAGAGATTGGGGTTGGGAGGATTCTTGCTGAGGATGTGTGAGAGACGTGGGAGGAGTTTGCCTCTGTACGGAGATGCTCAGTTGACGAAATTAGTTTCATGTTGTATTCATCCGCCAACTCTGTTGCCCCGGAGTTCGGAGGCCGATGTAGCACGACGGCGGAAGCAGGGGTTTCTTCCCAAGATGAATCTGTGGTATCAGATTTCCTCTCTGCCATCGTTAGCGAAGCCATACCAACATCAAGGAGAACTGGCTGTCCTGTTAGTGCACCGATAAGAGCGTTACAGCCAGCTCCATGTGTTATTAAAATCAAGACAGTCTCAATGTCATCGTCATTATCATCCTCAATAAGCGAAGTAGTTGAAGCCCCACCTATCCCCGGGTCGTTAGATCTATACCAGTCGATCATGTGCTGAAGACCGTTGCGGAATCTACAGTGCATCGAGCTCCATTCCTCACCGTATTCACCCCCCTTGCCCCAGTTCTGAGGTTCGCGCATGCTGTCCCACTGGTAATCTACGTCAATGCAGGAATCACGAGCGTGAGATACGTAACCTGACGGAATCGGATCCGATGGTGAGACAGCATAGACGGCAATTGGGGGAATGTATCCTGAATAGCCCACAGGAAGATCTGTTCTAAATTTGGAAATTCCAGGCCCCCCCGGTTTGTTCATCTCATTTACTCCATTATTAACGCTGCCTGTGCAGTTCCTCTGTGCGAGCGCGTAGCCCATGGATGCCATGCCTTTGAAAACTCCATCATCTTCTTTTCCATTATCACCATCATCGTTGTAATCCCTGGATGTGCTTCTAGTAAAGGGGTTACTCCAGCCGCCGGGAAAGTGCCCAAACATTGACTTCCCGTCAGCCTCGATCCCAGCTTCAACAGGCTCTCCACGGCGGAGGAGTTCCGATTTGGCGCTAGCAATCATCATTACAGAGCTGGGAGGAGGTGCAATGTGCTCGAAGTAGTCTGGAGAGAGCCATTCTCCAAGAAACGCATCGAGTCGAAGCTTGTATTTCTGGACTGTTATGTCAGAAGGTTCGGCAGCTTTGCAAGACGGAGAAGGGCTATCGATCGGTTCCGAAATGGTTGAAATGTAGTGGGTGCCGCTATCTCGTGTGGTAGGGGAACCTGGACGTAATGAGTGGGGTTTAGCGGTATCGGGAACACTGCGGCAGGGGGAGTAACCCTTGCTTTGACGCATTCCTGCACCCACCCCAATAGCTGTTTGCACGCAGCGGAGGAAAGGTGAAGTATGGAAAATGACATTCTGCTTTCGGGACGGCCTAGGTGTGTTTGATGGGCTACGCCTGCCGTCACTAGCCGCCTCTGCGTTGACTTTCCCTCTGCTATTTTTGTTGGAGTTAGACGATGAACGACTAGGATCCTGTCTGGCTCGTAAAATGTTCCCAATCCGGATTCCGAGGGCCCGAGCTTGGTTCCAACCACCGTAAGTCAAAGGAGGATCGTAAGGTGTAGGGGATGTTAAATGCCATTTGTTGTCCACCGCATCCAATCGGGCTCCGTGCCTAGAGCTCAGTCAGAGAAAAAGGGAGGTCATGCATCAAAATGTTAGGAGGGCAATAGCAGATATCTGGTGGTTATTGACATAAATATGGGTGTTAACAGACCTAGCAATAATAACGACAGCTGGAGGCTTCCCCATTGTTACTGCAGGGATACCTCTCCAGCTCCACGTTTTAAAACCAAGGCTTCTTTCGGTGGATGCCACAGAGGCTGATATAGGTTACGACGCTGGAGAGGAACTGCGAATATTGGACCAGCAGGGTAGAGGTACGGATATGCTCCGAGCCGAACCAACTCATTGTCTTTGGAGGAATCAGGATCCCTTTCTCATCGTGACTCGGCTCGGTAACATGAAGCTCGCAGCTACCTTGTGCGCCGCTGCGAGGCGGAATATGGAGTGCTGACGGGATACACACACACAGGAAGGTGAATTGAATTGAAATACTCCACTTTGAAATGTATGGACCTAGATACTTTAGGTAGGCAGCTAGGCACTCAGGTAGTTCGCTACCTGGGCATGTATGTACTAAAACGGAGGTTGTATCCAGGCCCCGCGCTGATTAGAGAACTCCGCCAGTGGTGGTGCTACTTAGATATCGCTAGCAGTAGCAGCAGGGTTTCTCTTTCTTCGGGCTCGGAAAGATGGTCAGACCGTGTTGGGAACTTCGGGTGTAGCTCAATAAGTTAGTGGATGGTGCGTAGGGTTTGGTTTTGACGTTGCAATATGTCGACACGTTTTAAATAGGAGACACTAGTTAGGGAATGACGTTGTGATTCACCGGAAACGATGAGTCAGCTGGGCGGTTGCTAGTCAGGTGACCAAAGGCCAATCCCCGCTGGCCGTGAAATGCTTGGTAGGTACATATATATATAGCGTATAGCACAAGTAATCTTCCTACGGATATACTTCCACACTGCAACGTCTGAATTAAATTCCATGGTATTATTATTTTTAGTAGTCTATTCAGGATATATGTAGAAGCGGCGAATCTACTGCTCTCTGATTGTAATCTACCATGACATTGCCAGAGATGTATCATAGCTATATAGTTAACCAGCGGTGAATGTATGACACTCTAATAGCGCGTCGCTTGCAGATTGATCCCTGCCCAACTAACCCACGAGTCCAAGTCAAAGCATTGATCTACATATCAACTTTGCCTCTGAGTCTCTGACAACACTTCCACTCACCAGAAAACGTAAACTCCCTCCGGTAACATGGGACTTCAAAGATTAATTGACGCCCATCAATCACATCAGTATCATAAATATTAAAAATTTCAACACCGAAAACAACCCCCGTAATAAGTATCCAGCACGCACGCGCTTGGTTGCGCAGTCAACACTCAATCAAGCTAACGCCCCCATAGGATCCCACAGCGGCAGCTTCTTCGGCTTCTGCTTCAAAACCTCCCTGATATCCCGACTAACTAACCGCGGATCAACTACAGCTTGATACACAAACTCATCCATCCACTTATCGGTCATGACGAACCAGCCCTTGTCGCCACTAGTCTCACCCCATGAATTCTCTACACGCCAGCGCACGGGTTTCCCGTCGTCCCCAATGTGAACAGCAGTCAGGACCATGGCGTGAGTCATAGATGATTCTCCCATTTGCAGTCGATCGGCTTTACTCATGCCCAGGTTGACGTTGAAGCCGAGAGCGTAGTCGTATAAGGAGGTGTCCATAATCCCAGAAGTTGAGTTGGAGTATTTCCCAACGTCACTGCCGAAGAATACAGGGATTCCGGCTTTCAGCATGGCAATTACGCTTTGTTTCATTGTCTACAGTCACGCGTAAGCACCTCTGAACACACACGGGCCACGGATCAAAAAAAAGGGAATAAAGGTATAAAAGGTATGAAAAGTAGACTTACATCCATATCAACATTAACATAAGTAATCGGCTGGCCGCCAACGACATTCCCCAATCGGTCCACAGTAAGAAGCTGTTTGTAGTCGTTTCTTGGGTCATTCACCAGACTGAAAAGCTCATTCACGTCCGTTCCCTGACATGCCCTCACACCCTCACGGCTCGAAAGGCTATTCGCAAATTCTAATGGAGTCATTGACAGTTTATGGAATTTTCCCTCTGAATCGTAGTACTCCCAATTGAATTTCTCTCTGGGGGATGGCGGAGGGCCAAGCAGAATCGTCAGGATAGAGTGAATCTCCTGTAGAAACTTGTTCTTCGCGTCACTGATGGATGCCCGGACAGCTGGGTCATCGCTCGTTGCCATCTGACGCAAGATTATAGCGTCCTCGCGCAGCTTGGTGGTAACTAACTTGTCCATGAACGAGGTGTTTTTTGCATTATATGTGTCCGGATACAATCCGTGTGGGACCTGGAAGTATCAAATTAATATTCTCATAAAAATGCCCAGTGTCGAAGGGATTCCAATGACTTACCAGTCCATACTTCCTTACCAAATTCGCAGCCATATCCCATTGACCACCATCTGACACCGGGCCCGACATCAGGCTCTGAACTAGCCTACTATCTAACTCCTTCTCAGCCGTGTCAATAACCTGTTCCAAGAACCAATTTGCCTTCTCTATTTTATCCCAGAAGAACGGATACGCTTGACTCAGCTCGAAGTTCTTCACATTATACAATTTCATAAGAGCTACGCGGAACACGTTTGTCATCGCGAACAGCCAACAGCGGCCCGATGATCGCTGGTTTGTGATTGGTGCACCCTCGAGCGGTATCTTGATATTGAAGACCTGGGTATCTGCTATTTCAGCAGCGTGGTTTGCTATGACGGTCGTTGGGGAATTGGCGGACAGCGCGGATAAAGCGAGACGGTTCTATGTTATCCGCAATATTAATCAATATAACCATCAATAATCTGCATCCATGTACAAAAAAAGTATCTTCAAAATACCTTAGAATCCGCAAGTAACTTTTTCTCCCACTGCTTCGCGTCTGATATCGATAGAGAAATATTCCGTCTCGGTGGAGAGTATGCCGGAGCTATATTCATAAAGATAATGAGCTAGCCATCCATTATCTGCATAAATGGAGCAGCCGGAGAGCCAGCTTGATATGATAAAACAATGGATATATACTCACGTAGCTCCTCTGCGACACACACATAGCCCTCATCGAGCGGTTCCACCCAGCCCTTCACGGCCACCCTCACCCCCAACATCCGCTCCTCAATCTCCCGTTTCTCCTGTTCAACCGCTGCCGCAGCGACCTCTTTGGACTGGCCCGCACCCATCGCGATAATCTGTTATCTAATCTATCTTCGGACCATTACATTTGTTGGAAATTCAAAGGGTGAACTTCAACAAATGACAAAATACATATGCAGGTGCATTCAACGGCAGATGATCAGCGAGCTCAAGGGGAATCTTGCCGTATGTTGATGGACTCCGTAGATGATTTCAGATGTTGAGGTTGTTTTTCTCGCAACGTTGCGGCTTCTCCGCTAGGGTTGGCTTATGTCATCCAGATCTAACTAACTTTTAGTTGTTTACTAGTTAACTAGTTAACTATATTTAGTTACGTAATCAACTACCACCACCGAACGGAGCATACAGATTGGTCGACCTCGCGAAAAGACTTGGACGACCCCTCCACGTGACCACACACTCAAATTGAAGGACGGGCACGTATAAAGAGAGGTCGGGTGGTAAAAACATTACCATAATAATTTCTCTTCATAATCATTGATCCCAATCTCTTCTATTCTTGCCAGTATTTGTCAACTACTTTTAAAGCGCTTCAAATGTCTGCAGTTCTCGAGTCTCAGGTGTTTGATGATGACCTGAATGATTTTATGAATGATGACAATGACAAAGAATCTGTCTTTGAGGTTGGTGGTGAAACCAGGATAGCTCCTGAAGTTGTAGGTACTAGAAGTGCAGAAGTGCTTTGGGGATGCTTGACAACTGATGTTCAACTTGCTTAGATCAATATTGAAGATCTTATCTGTCTAACAAACGCTACATCCAATCCTATTCGATCCTTGTGTATTGAATACACACATGATCTGCTAGAATATCCGAAAACACATGAAAAAGGATATACCTATGTAGTTCAAACTGGGGATTTGACGGCAGAAGAAGTCAAGATGATGATGAATGATGTAAGTAAATTTGAAGTATTTTTGAACTGGTGGCAGACTGCTTGAGAGGTGATTGAAAGCTGATTATAATAGATTCAATACTGCAAGAGTCAACTGCATCCTCCAAAGCAAATCTTCTGTAGTTTTCTTCAAACTACTGTGAAGAAGTACAAATATAAATGTACTGGCTTGAAAGTCTGTGAGTATTTGCATGATGATTTGAAATATAATCATCACACAGAGGTTACTGAAGACCTTTGGAATACTATACTACAAGCTCGACAAGGGATTCAACAGGTGGAGGAGGATATCACAAAGCGGAATGCCTTGAAGTATTATTTCTATTCTTGCAAGTGCTTGTCATGTCAATTGCTTGACAAATGCCTTCCAAGAAATGCAGTCTAATAAATATGAATATAGTTTTGCTCGGTCAATTAAACATCTTTTCACCATGGGAAAAGCATGTTTCGAAGCATCTTCAACTTGTCAACCAATATTTCGGCGCCATCAGCAACCTGTATGATACCAAGTACTTTCTGGCTGGTTGTCAGCTGCTTAGCAAGGGGTTGTTAACTTTTCACATAGGACATTACAGGTTATCATACACCTTTTGTAATCTGTATAAATGCCTCTCAAAATCCCTCGGCCCACTTCTACCGAAATACTCAAGGTCATACTCAATTAAATATCTCTTTTTTAGAGGAGATATTTGAGAGTGGTTTGCTTCATCCTACTGAGAAATGTGGAGTAATGGAGCAGATGCAGAGCCATCGTAAAGTGTGTGGTAAGTAATCACTATGTGCTCCATGGGTGCTTGGCAAATGCTTATCAACTGCTTGGTAGGTTATGATCATCCAAATGGTCCTGGAACAATAGTAAAACTATCATGTGAGGTAGTTTTTCATATAATGATTCCAGTTAACCTGACAAACTGTCCATATATGTTATTTATATCTCATGGACAGCATAAACATCCTCCACCTCCTCCTAACAAACCTCCTGCAACAATTATGAAACGAATTGTCCATCTTATTAAGGAAATAAGAGAGTCAAATATGACTCTTTGTAAGTGACCACTTTCAAAGTGCGTGGCAAATGCTTGATAACTGACTGCGAACTACTCTAGCAACTTTTCTTAAAAGTCCAGCCCTGGAAGCATTCTGCCATCAATATAATAGTCCAACCCTGCCTGAAATCCACCAAAGCTTTACAAATATGGATCGTTTTCGTGCTATTATAAAAAAGCAGCAATTACTTGCTTATTCCGCTGGACAAGAGTATAATGGTGTACGGTTTGAATTAGAACGCAACCCTAAACTGAAGGTAAGCATCTGGAAAGCACTTGGAAAATGTTTTACAAGTAGTTGCAGGTTGAAATTAACTGATTATGACTTTAGGAGTATATCCAGGAACTCTATCATGATGAAGAGGGCTTAATGATAGTTTGTATGTACAAGGAGCAAGCAGAGCTTCTTCTTACATTATCATCTGTTGAGATTGATATGTCATATAAGCATCTGAAATTCTCACAAATGAATGAAGTGGTCTTTGCAACATATCTTCCACTTCATGAAAAAAGTATATACATCTCTCAAGCATTTACACACTGCCTGCCTACTGCCTGCTAACCACTTGAGAAATAGTTGTTACACTCTGCCGTGTTTTTACTGAACAGAAAAGTCCAGAGGGATATTATCACTTGTTTAAACGTGTCTTTGATATTGTTCAAAGATTGACTGGAAAGCAAGTTACCTTTCATTATATTCAAGGAGTGGGGCTTCGAGCTTTGATAATTGATATGTGTAATAAACAAATGGCTGGTAAGTATTTGGCAACTGCTTGATAAGCATCTGCTAACTATCTACAGGTCTTGCTAGATATCTAGCTGAGCTGGATCCTCAAAAACATCATTTTTCCTGGCAACTAAAGAATATAGTCATATTCTGCCATGTTCACTTCTTTAGAAGTATTTCAAATCTGGTTAAATCAGAAAATCAACATATCTCTGTTTATAACAGAATGACAAGTCTCTTAAACTGCAAGTCAAAGGAGCAGTATATGGAGCTTTGTGATCTATTGATTGGTAAGTGGTCTAGAACTGTTTGATGAGAGTACTTGCTAAGTAATAATCAGCAAATGAATCAAAAAAGATCCAGAATTGGGCCAAACATAAAAAAAGAATGGTTATTGCTGCAGGGTTGAATAAATTCTGTAGTTTAATACCTCATTCCATTTATGATTCTGTGAGAAATCATATCAATGCTGCTGAGCAGATTCATAATAAGTCATATGCTTTTGACAAAGCACAGGCACTGCTTCCAGCTGTTTTATGGTATGTGACCACTTTATAAGCACTTGGCAACTGGCTGACGCTTGGTTAAAAACCAATTATGTTGTTTAGTGTCCGAAAATTGGATAAGCTTGATATTATGCAGCACAAGGCCCGCCAGACCCACGGTATCCATCATGAATACCGTGATGATAATATGCAAGCACATTATCAACAGCATATTACACGAGAAGGTGATTGATAGACGCTGTTCAGTTGCTTGACAAGTGGTTGCTAACTGATATTTAGAAATACTTAAAAAACGCAAGCGAACTGAGCAGGCTAGTGACTTTGATGATATTTTGTATGATATATCTAGATCATCGACACCAAAACAGTTTTCTCAAACCCGTCGAAGAACACCAGGTGGACGAGCAAGGTCAGAGATCTTACCAAGCAGTTGGCAAGTATTTGATAAGTAGCTGACTTGTGATTAGTTCAGTAGCATCCTCACGACGCGGCAGCTCAGAACGGGCAGAGAGTATCCAGTATGTTCTCAATTAATAAACAAGCACTTGGAAAGTGCCTGACATGTGACTAACAGGTGCTTGTAGATCATCACCCAGTCTTCATCGTGTTGCCTCTGCCAATCTTCTAGGTCAAGACTGGGATCTGCAACAAAGTCAAATTGATATAAAGAGACAGTGGTTGGAGCTTCAAAAGATGAAAGAAGAGCTAAGAGCGAAAAAACTAGCCAATGACGAGAAAGAGCTAGAGTTAATAGAGAAAAGAAGAAAACTACAGACAGAATAAAATATGCCAGAATGGCAAGCTTGGTTGATTGCAGAGTTTGCACGCCATTTTTTTTTAGTTCTTTTGAATATTACTCACATTCTTCTTAAGAGATTCCATTTTGCTGTGAAAACACATAGAAACGGGCTTAAATTAGTGATAAAAAGAGGTTTCTTTAGAATAGTTTTGCTGGCGTAAGGATTAAGTGGTTGGGAAGTGATTTACAATGTATTGTGGGAGGTCGGACCTGGCTAGGATGGGGTCGGGTCACGTGGTGAGGTGGGCCAAGCCTTTTAGCGAAGTCGACTCTTCTACATTCTGACCGGAGGCGGGGGGAACGAAAACCGCTCACTTCTCCGCAACTATCAGATCTTTCTATCTCAATATTGTTCAACGTGTCCTTTTCTTACGTTACATTAAAGAAACGTCTTTATCTCCAGAAATCGAATTGAAATGGTCATCTCATCTATGAAAAGAAACATTTTCAGTCAATAGCAGCAGCTGCTAAGGTCTTTGATGTGTCTAAAGAAACTCTTCATGATCGGCGTTACAGTATCAACCACGTGCGGAAACACGCGTCAATAGTCATAGATTGACAGTCCTTGAAGAGGAAGTTCTTACAAAGCACCTGCTAGATGCGGATAAATGAGGCTTTTCAATTTAGTCAGAGTTCCTGCAAGGAATGACTCAGATTTTACTCCATGAGTGTGTAAGAAGACGAGGCCGAGACGGGGAGTCAACAGTGCCGTCACGTAGTTTGGGTGATGGTAAGCTGAATGGGTAGGCTTGACTAGATAAGAAAGCAGATGAGCTTATGCCTTAAGAACTGAAGAGGAATCTATGAATAGATAGAGGTTTGTATACGTTTCTAATAACTCTGATATATATTGAGAATGAATCACTGACCCTCTGAACGGTAGCTATCTGACAGAGTGGAAAGCTTGAATTACTATATATGGTGGAAACAAATCACGTGACCGAAGGGTCCGACACCTCAATTTTGTAAGCCCCTTCCGATGAGTGAACTTAGTAGCCCCCAATGGCTTGGTGAGGCTGTCTGCCACATTCTCTGCAGATGGCACGTAGTGTAAGATGATCTCCTTCTTGCGAACAAGGTCCCGAAGGGAGTGGAAGCGAACCAACCTCTATATGCTTTGAACGGCGTGGTATAGCCTCACTAGAAGAGAGCTCTATTGCAGACTTGTTGTCAGCATGGATAGTGGACGTGAGAGGGTTAGCTGGGAGTGGGACGGCCCTTCAGGAGTGTCTAGTTCAATTAAGCCGGGATGGGAGGGATCCGGCATCTGCAAGGAGTTCTCGGAGGTGGACAAGCTCGTAGGCAGCCTCTGAGGATGAGATATATTCGGCCTCTGTAGAAGACCTAGAGATGCCGGTTTGCTTACAGCTTCTCCAGGCAACAGGGCCACCGGCCATGTAGATGATATAGCCAGTAATGGATCGGAATCCTGGGTTTCTGCCTGCCCAATCGGCATCAGCATAGGCCATGGGCTCTATATCAGAGCCCCTATAGTAGGTGACACCTATGTCATGAGTGACCTGGAGGTAGCGAAGGGCACGTTTAAAGGCAGTCGGACTCAATTCTTCGATGTCAGATGGGAGCTGAAACGCCCAAGGAATCCTGCAGCAAAGCTAACATCAGGGCGTATATTAGCAGCTATGTATTGTAGGGATCCAATGCCAGATTGGGAGGCCCGTAGTGTGAATTCCCTAGTGTATGTTACCGGTTCTTTATCATCTCCCCAAAAATCAATATCCTCCTCCATTGGAGTGGAGGTTGGATGACAGTCCTCCATAGAGAATTCTTCTAGCAGATTCTTAACAAAAAGAGGCTGAGAAATAGTGAGATAATTGAAGTCCCTTTCTATCATCATACCCAAGTATCGGTTAGAATCCTCTGCATTCTTAATCTCAAAACGGGCTGCAATCTCAGACCTAGCCCAATTCAAATCTCCAATATTCGGCCCGTAAAGTCGAATATCATCCACATAGGCAGTAATATATACTTCCAGTGAGTTATGGATAAAGAAACAAGCATCATAGGGACTGACATGGAAGCCTGAAGAAGTGAGCTTTTTTTTTTCAGCTCTTCATACCATAATTGGGCTGCTTGTTTGAGGCGATAGGGTCCTTGCATTAACTCACAGACCAAGTATCCTCGACCTTCTCTAAACCCCGTAGGCTGGGACATATAGACACGTTCATCCTGTGGCAGCTGGGCATTCATGAATGCCGTGACCATGTCTATCTGTAGAATATGCCAGCCATAGGATGACGATATAGCCATTAGGGCTCGGGAGGTGGTAGCACAGATACCACCGGGGTGTAGGTCTTGGAGAAGTTGACACACTTCTGTTGAAAGTTGCCAGACTACCCAACGGGCCTTATAACGGATGATTTGGCCCGCATTATTAACCTTCTAAAAATACCCACTGGCCAGAGATAACAGGCATGCCAGGGGTGCGTTCAACCAGCCGCCAGGCCCCAATCTGTTTTAAGCGGTTAAACTCCTCTGGGCAGGCATGATGATACCACTTCCATTCGGGCGAGGCCCGGGCCTGTGAGAGGTTGCGAGGGACCAGCATGTTCGAAGGATTTAGATCAAAGAGTAGGGATACTGTTGCCAATTTGCCCCCCCCCCTGAACGTGGATTCTCAGAGGGAGTCTTAGGGTTCAGAGTGATGATAACGGAGTCATCATCACTGACTAGATTTTCTGTGGCCTCAGGTGTATTCTGGGCCACAAAGGTTGGAATCCTGGTTGGAAGTTCGTAGTCAATCCACCAGTTATTAGTTGGATCCAGAAATATGGGACAGTTAGATAGGAACAGACCCCCAGTAGAGGAGCCAAAGCCGTCAGATTCAATAGAGGGCCGGAGCTGTCCGCCCCAAAGGTATATCCTGGGAATGACTGAAGCTGTAGCAGCCTGACGGGCAGCAGCAGGTAAGGACTTAGTGATTCCAGTAGTAGAGGCAGAAAGATCTGCCAGACGAAGATCCTCTTTGAAGACAACATCTTTAGAGATATATAATCGACCATTGAAGGGATCGACTAATCGATAGTTGGTGGTAAAGCTATCATAGCCTACAAATATTAGCTCCTGGGAGCAGGATGCCATCTTATTGACAGGTTTGGGCACTATCTTTAAGTAAGCCTTACAGCTCCAGCGACGTATGCCACAGGTTGACGGTAACGCCCCAAGCCAGGCTTCGTACGGGGTAGTTGGCTTCGGAACCGGGTTCTCAGAGCCGTTATAAAGAGTAGTAGAAGTGGGCATAAGATTTAAAAGCTCTGTAGATGCGATGACTGCTTCACCCCACATCTTATCAGGGGCAGAAGAATCTATTAGTAGAGATCGGGCTTTTTCAATAATTAGGCCCACAGAGCGTTCCGAAACACTATCTTGTGTTGGGGAGTATGAGAGGGGGTAGGCTCCCATTTAATGCCTTCACTAAGCATATAGTGAGAAGCAACTTTGGAACTTAATTCTCCTCGGTCTGAGTGAATTATCGCAACTCCACGTCCAAGAAGGTTCTTAATGAATTGGTTGAATATCCGGATGTATTTTAAGGCTTCATCCTTTGCTTCCAGTAAGAATATCCACCTCATTCTTGTGGCATGATAGAAGCAGGGCCAATTCCCTGAACCTTGAGTATAGCCTTGTTGGCAACTTGAACCGCGGGGCCATATATTGAATGAATTGCTGTGAATTGGGCCCTGTCATGGGCAATGTGGCATCCAGCGCCACTATCCCATATAGTGAAGTTATTGGTACGAGGATCCACAAAGCATGCAGGGATTGTTATGATCTCTGCAAGACTCGCAGTTTGAAAGGAATTGTCATCATCTATCTGTCTGTGACAGAAGGCTTGACAGCAGGATTGTCAGCTGTCTTGCCCCAACTGTTGTCCTTATCCTTATCTCTATTCTTTTTCTTGTTGAAATCCTTTATGCTATTGGCGTTATTCTTCTGTCACTCCTCAGGGCTTTGTCCGGGTGGGCTAGCCAGCAGATTCCATGATGAGAGGTTTTGCATTCAGGACAAGTAGGTCGGTCCCCGTGATCACGGCCATGGTAGGCACCAGGCCGGGCGTTGGAATGGGACGGATTGGCAGCATTGACCTGAGTAGAAGGAGGTGCATCCTTTTTCTTATTCTTTGAAGGGCCAACTCGAGATCGAATTTCTTCCATGATTGGAATCACATCCAGTATTACAGCTGTAGATTTAGAGGTCTGAACCTTCTCAATCTTCTTCTGAACATAGTTCCGCCAAGTGGTGGGTAGGGCTGAGTAAAAGATATGAAATATCAAGTCCTCAGATGGAAAGGCTTCGAGTGTCTTCAAATCATGAAGAGTTGTACATAATTTGTCAAAGAAAGGTGTATATCATCTGTCCTTAAGTTGGCAAGTGCCACAAAGGCCAGATAAGCTTCTCATTAAAGCTGTGTCTTTGGAATTGAATATTCCTCCTCAATTGCATGCCAAAGGGAGTAGGCAATGTGAATCTCATCAGTCTTTATAATATGAGATTTGACAGAGGAACTAAGGGAGCTGGACAAGAAGGTGTAGGCCCATCGGTTCTTTGCTTCCCAAAAGGGTGTCCTTCTCTATTAGGACAGCACTGGGCATCCACTAGTCTAGACTTTATTGAGGACTTCCAGGTCAAGTAGTTGGCAGTGCCAGATAGCATATTTGGTTTATTAATGCTCTTTGTGTCCCTTTTGAATTGAGCAATTGCCCTGCCGACATCACTATCCAGGTCGAAAAGGACATGTTCAAATGCAGCACCAAATTCAACATTCCAGGCCCTAACTGGTGGGGCCATTGGGGGATTGGCAGCAGCGGCAGTACGGGCCGCTGCGCGAAGGGGTTCTAGTTGAATCTCTAGTTCTAGAGCTCTTCGTTTCTCTTGTTCCCTAGCAAGCTCCGACTTGCTAAGTGCCAGGCGGATCACCAGATTATCATCAGCAGTTGAGGTTTCAAAGGATCCGGGGGATGGCTGGGATTAGGATCGGTCCGAAGTGACGGAGCCGACAGAGTCAATTCGCATTCGGCAGTGCGAACGCGTTACAGGGCGAGCAGATCATCGATGGAAGCTGTATTTGAGAGTACGCTGTACCCTAATAGCGTGGAAGCTTCGGGGGCACGCCCGGAGGCTGGTACGGAGACTTGAGGACCTCCAGCATGAAGCCCGGAGGTTCCGGCAAAAGGACCGGAAGCCGGTGAAGTCGAGGAGGGTACTATTGTAAGTACGTAGCCAGAAACGCCAGTGAGTAATTCATTAGCAGCATCTGCCGCTGACAGGTTTATCTTTTGATTGCTTAATTTTTTATGTAAATAGAATTCTCCATCCTTCCAATCAATAAGGGGGTTGAGTTGTTTGAGCCAGGGAAATTCTAATATCATGTCATAGTCTGAAAGTTTAACAATATGAAATGAATGAGATTCTCTGACAGTAGATCCTTTGTTATCCGAGACTTCTCCTGCCAGTTTGATAGTTCCAAATGAGCGCGTTTGGTGGCCGTCGAAATCATTCAATTGTGAGTGGAGGGCGCTCTGAAGGTTGTAAATCACGTGATTTGGCCCAGAATTCACCAATAAAACTCGTCTGAACTTCGGAATCTATATAAGAGCGAGAATCGGCGTGTCTCCAGCAGGTGTAGAGATTCGGACGGGAAGAAGAGAGAATAGACTTAATGATTGCTGACTTATTAAGAGTTGTCATTGGAGCATGGATGACACTTCTTATTCCTTTTTTTTATCTCCTTAGGGTTTGGTTTGAAAGAGGGTTTAGGAGGAAACTTTGAGGTTGAGGAGTTGTTCCTGAAGGACTTGTTCTTCTGGGCCTTGCAGTCTGCATTGGAGTGTGTGGTGCTCTGATGGACATCACACCAGGTGTCGGAGCGCTCTTTGCGTTTTCGGCTGTTATTTTGAGGTGCTGTTGGCGCGACACCACGTGAATTGTTTCCGCGACTAGCACTCTTTTTTTGCATAGTTGCGCTTGATGATATGGTAGTTTTCAGGATGTTGCTTTCCACAATGCCCAGTTTCGTGATGAAAGCGTCATAGGAGAGGTCGTTCAGCTTGACTGCATATCTCTCAAACTCTGCACGAAGAGAGGGTAGGATCTTATTAAATAGATGTATCTTTCGATGATAATCACTATACTTCTCGCGGAGATACCCTTCAACCGACTGAAGAGTAGATACAAAGCCATGTAGAGTTTGACCCTCAGATTGCTTTAGTTCTTGATATTTCAACTCGTAGTCCAGGTGTCCGTTGTCAGGATTGATAATGTTAGCATGAATCCAGTTATAGAATTCATTCCAGGTAATAGGCGTCTTCAGGTTGGTGTAGTTATTGTTGCCAATTTTGTTGAAGTTTGGCATTGAAATGCGTGGCTGCTTCAAGGATTTTGCGTTCATCATTGTTCTCAAAGTATTGGTTTTGGTAGGCGTAGAAAGCGAGGCTTGAAGAGATAAAATCTTCTAGTTCCTTGAGGTTTTTTATTTTAAACTCATTTGAGAGATTTCGAGTCGGTGCGCACGTGGGATTGTTACCTGAATGTCCGCAGAAGGCAAGGTTAGCGCTAATAGTGTGATCAGTTGGCTCTGTTTCACGCTGTTTACTCTCAGATGCTTGGATTTCTGCGCGAAGGGTGTTGATTTGTTGTTGTAGATCAAGGAGTTTTTTGTATTTCTCTAAGCGTTCTCGTTCATGTTCAACTGCCTGAATTTCCTCTTCAGTTGGTGTATGAGGTGCTTCGGCATCTCTTTCTGAAGTTGAACTTGATGATTGTTCATAGAGGGTTGAGGCGTTGGTGGGGTTACGTTTCGGACCCATTGTTATAGGTTTAACGGGCAACCTCTCCTAGAGTGGTTAGAAACTGTGAGGACACTAGATGTGAAGGGATATAAGTGTCAAAAGGAAGCGTGAGAAGCACTATAACTAATACTGTAAAGGAATGAGAGGATAGGCGCTTAGAGCGCTGAGAAGTATAGCGATGGGTGAAACGAAGGTGTAGGGTTGAAGAGAAGCTTAACCACTGGATCTTCTCGAAAGGAATGAAGGG